ATCGGCCCTTGTTGGATGGTATTGTCGATTGATGTGTCATGTAGATAGTAGACGATGTTGATTTTGAAAATTTCTTTTTTTTTCTAGGGTTAAATACGACCAGTGTGGCCAGTACCAATGTAATCGAAATCATGAATCAGGACATAACATTTGGAGTTTGATATATTTACCGTAACTATCTATAGATGGTTGGATATTCAAGTGTTTTTTTATATCTTTATAATGGCCTCGACCTCTGGGAAATAGATCCGGAAATATTAGAGCTTCTAGGTCAGGATTATTAAAAAGAATTAGAAGATTTATGTTATTATTGGTTAAGATAGTTCCGGCAACCAAACGATTGTGATTAGCATCTTAATTATGGATCTCCTGTGGAAATGAAACATTTGGCACTACTAAATCAGGTGGACGAGGAATTTCATTAGAAAGAGTGCTTTGATATGTATTCGAAAAAGACGTACAAATGTTGATAGATTGGGTCGCTCAGGGTAAAGATACGGGTACGATACTTTCTGGTGATGGACAAGTAGTGATTAAATTCGATTGGTATTGTCTAATAAGGTTGTTATTTTGTTTTAGCCAATCCGAGGTGGGTATTAATGAGTTATGAAACCAATTTGATAGTTCATTAGAATTTAAATAAGCACCAATTGATCCAGAATATAATTGTAAAGACCGATAGTTGTGTGTTATTCCTATTAAACCTTCTAAATGTCTATAATTTGTGTAATGATTTGTGCCAGCAGCGCGGCCTAAAGAACAGTTCATATGAACAGGAGAAAGATATCTTCGATGCATCATAGGAACTTCTTCGATTTCTGAAGGAATGGGAGTCAGAATAGGAGGATAACAACGAGTATTTTGGTTTTTGCATCCATTGCATACAGCGACCTGTTCAACATTTTGCTTATTTATTCAGGTATGCACTGGAATATTGAAAGCAATTGTTAAATGATAAACTTTATTGGGATCGTAGATGTTCTATTTTACAGAAGATTTCATTATTAACATTGAACAATGGGCACAAGGAATACATGGATAGTCATATAATATTTTTGTTTGAAATTCATTTAATAGGTGTTGAAGATTAACCCATTGAGAGATTGGATTATAATCGAGTGAGTGTGAAAAGTTTGATTCAGTTTGTACTCGATCATTATCAAGAACTGGCGCATTTGGTAAATTTTGATTTATTTCATTTCTGAATATATA